AAAGAGCAACAATAAGACGGAGTAAAATATAGTGTAGGACTGTAGGCGGTTATCTCTCCTTTTGAGGGAACAAATTTACTGATATGTATTTGAGGGTCGCGTAATAGCACGTTGGTGAGGATAGTTGTTGCCTAAACAATTTAGTTACGAAGACGTAATATATATTCGTGTACTTCAATGTTGTGTACAAAATGTTTTCGTGTATAACTCATTTTTTTTTTTTTAATTAATTGTTTTGGTTATTCTTCTCCTTCCGGGCATCGTGTTAGTGTATCACAGATACACTAATGCCTATAATGGACATTGGTGAGTGGAGAATGCAAAAATATTTCCTCTCTCTTTCCAAGCACCCCATTACTAGTAATAAAATAATAATAGTGAAAAGACTTAATCTAAAAGGGAATAATAAGAACGAATACTAGTAGTAGTTGTAATAGTGAAAATGTTTCATGTAAAAAGCAAAGATATTATGTAGAGTAATACTAATAACAAAATAATAGTGATTGTGTTTAATCAAATTTCAAAAAGTATAACTTTCAAAAGGTTGCGTAAAAAGTCGGAAAGGAAAAGGAATACAGTTGTACTAAGCTTAATGTTTCTTTGACCTAATTGGTTAATGCGACGTCCATCATCATTATTATTTTACGATTTCGTGCTTTTTATTTACATTGTTTTCACATTCATGATGTTTCAGTCGTTGTACGCTCCGGCCTTCTTTAGGTGATTGGAATCTCGAACTGAACCCTTTATTTCTCAAGGACACATGGCTCAGTGGATAAAAGTTGTTTGGATCCAGTGACTTGGCCCAAAGAGTTGGGAGTTCAATACCTGGGCACGGCAGTGGTGAACAAAAAATTGGAGAGTTGAGTTAAAGGGAAATAACTGAGACATCCAAAAGAGGCATGGCACGCGGAACTAGAACAATCTAAATAATTGCAATGACTCATCTCAGAAATATAGACAGATTTTTGCTCTTGCAGTTTAAAGGTTTTTGAACCGAGAGTGATATTGCGATAAAAATATAAAAATAAATTTTACTAATAATAAAGTAATACCTATATTTTATAATTATTTACTAAATTTAGCCTATTCTAGCTGCTTTTTTATGTGGGATTGGAGCAGTCATGACTCTCCACAATTTCCTATCCATTGTGGTTCTAACTAATGTTTGTTCCCTTACTATCCCTCCAAGACACCTGTTTTGTCATCCATTTACATAATCTCGTTCGGTAGGTTGCTCAATGTTTCTCTCTGCCTCATTTGCCTTTAATATGTCTTAATAAATATAAAGAGAATGGGGTCTAGAAACGGTGACCAAAGACAATCTCAAGAGTGAAAACCCACCTTCGTTCTTGTTACCTTGTTCGAACATTGGCTCCAAGAGGAAATACGTAACCTCACCAACCATCACATCAGGCTAGATTCAACTGATATTTTTGTGCTTAAGTTGGTTACACCTAGACTCGAGATCCTAGTGAATAACCCCAGCAAAGAAACACAAATTGGGTGGGAATTAAATATGACCACAGGTTTATATGAAGAAACCATTTATTAAAGACAACAAAAGTCATGAGACATATTTAAAAGGATTTAAGACCGCTTACAGATATTAATGGTTTTACAGTAATTGCCCCCTCATCGGCCTAAGTCAAATAATTAAGTATAATTCATTATACTAAGTACTAAAAGTTGGACTTAATCATCTGAGACTTCTCTCTGACTTCCATCAACATGGCTGATGATAACCTCCAGGAGAGTGACTCATTGCACTTTCTTGAGCTAACATTCTTGGCTAACATGAAGTGGAAAGACTATATTAAATCTATTGTCAGGTCAGCTGCTAAGAAAGTTAGTTCACCGTGTCAGATGAGATAATTTTTCTCTCCAGAATCTTATATATCTATAAATCTACCATTGGTCCATTCTTAGAATATTGCTGCCACATATGGTCCAGTGCTCCTGCTATTTATCTAGAGCTCCTTGATAATATCCAAAGAAGAACCAGCAATATTACTGGTCCTGATCTGGTATCTCAGCTTCAGTCACTTTCCCCACCATCATAAGGTTGCCTGCCACCGTCATACGTATATATAAGTCTACCATTTACTCTCCTCCTGATTACTCTTTTGTTCTCGCTCATTAGTAATGTTTCTATCCCCCCCCCTTGTAAGCCCTTGTCTCTTAGTGGCTTTACTGGCTTGCATGGAATGAAATCGATAAAAAGGAAAAAAAATACTGGAAAAGCTATTTTACGCATAGCTGTTATCCTTTAGTCGCCATGTCCCCAATTGATGTTTTGGGCGAACTTACGTGACCAGCTTTGAGATGTTGCTGATGTTTCGTGCCTCTACAGCTGTATAATGAATATTAATTTCATTTATAGCTTTTTCGTACCGTTCAAAAAATGACAGTAGCTTTATGTTGATTACGTTAAAAGTTAATTAAGCGTTTTCACGATAAAGGATACATTTGAGAATAAACATCAAATAATGTATCATTTGAAGGTTTGTTATAATTCTCTTCATAGGCACAAAAATGTCTTCACGGCTTATCAGCTTTTAAATTTGTAACTTATTATCTTAGTTTTGAACGCTTAAAAAGAAATCATTTAAACGAGTCAAATGCTTTTCTTACTGAACATTCGTGTAACAAATCCCGTCAAAAATGACCACCTATTTAAATAGTTTAATAATTTCATTGTACTTATTCCTTAGGCCTGGCCTTTACATCTGGAATCCATCATGCCACGTCCACAATAATGAATCATCCTCATTCCCCTTCGTATTCCATTAATAAGAATTAAGTTCCATTCAAACACCTTCTTCGCGGAATAGACAACCGACACGATGTTTTCCCAATGACAACAATCTTGACCCCTTCAAGTCAAGGATTAACCATTATCTTTCTTGCATAACCCTATGAACTTTACTTCTGCCTGCATTATATATATATATATATATATATATATATATATATATATATATATATATATATATATATATATATATGGGTAGGAACTTTTCATTCAGACAGGTTTCGTTGGATATGAAAGAAAAGGAAAATCTGCTGAATTTTTATCGAGTCCTTGTAGTATTCTTAAATTTTACTGTCTGGTGGGGGTAAGGGAGTGTAAAATTGTGTCTATCGACCCAGGCGCTTTCGATCAATTCTTTAGCTATTTTCAAACGGGGTGGTTGTTATTAATTTCTTTTCACTATTGTCTTAAAATGTAATTGTGTGAGCTATATATATATATATATATATATATATATATATTCGAAAATGATAACATAAATGTGTTATAAAATGGCTGTTTTTGTAGTGATTTATGTTAGCATTTTCGAAAAATAATTATATCTGCTCTACTCCGTATTGAGCACTCTTTTAAGAATAGTATTTGTTGGTTATTGAGTTTATTCCGTATACACCAATCCTATACTTGGGTATATATATTATTATTTAAACGTTATTTTTTGGAGGATACCTATGAGTAGCAATCCATTCCTTTTATGTATACTTAATAGCTCTGTTGTATTATATCGAGCACTGTTTTATTAACACCAGCTATATATATATATATATATATATATATATATATATATATATATATATATATATAGAGATAGAGAGAGATAGATATATATATATATATATATATATATATATATATATATATATATATATAGAGATATATATATATATATATATATATATATAGAGAGAGAGAGAGATAGAGATAGATAGAGAGAGAGAGATATAGAGATAGATAGAGAGATATAGAGATAGATAGAGATAGATAGAGATAGATAGAGAGAGAGATAGATAGAGATAGATAGAGAGAGATAGAGATAGAGATAGAGAGAGAGAGATAGAGATAGAGATAGATAGAGAGAGATAGAGATAGATAGATAATTACTACATTGTGCTGGCCATCATATATTCTGGAAGAAAAAGCTTTGTGGTCGAATGGATTGCTCGAAAGATTGTGGTCAGAACACAAAGAATGAGTTCAGTTGTCCAAACAACGACTTTTCAGGAAATGATAGACTGTTTTTCTAGTTGCCCACAAAAAATTCTAACAAACCGAATTTTGTATTACATTTTTGGAAATGAGAAATTTTCAATCTTTTTAATATGGATTCTTTTATAGAGAAAATATTTCGGCTAAGTATTCTCTCCTCATTTTCATGAGTTCATTATTTTAGGCTTATATGAGATATCTGCTGATTGCGTTACTTTGGTCATATTAGTTTTACTATTTCATTACCTGATCCATGGACTGAACTCACCACTAGACGAAAGCAACACGTGTTTAACTAACGCTTATATCATCAATGCCACTGCCCTGAAGGAGATCAGATGTGTTTTGGGAGACTTTAAATCCTATATCAGATCAACAAGTGATCGACTTCTTTTGTAACATGTAAAGATAGTATTTGCCGTTATCCTACAAGGAAACAATTGGCATTCATTGACCGAGCAGCCAGTACTATAGTTTTTTGAAATTTATAAAATCTTTTTCGTAAAACAACTTTTCAGGAAAATAAGTTTCTCAAGTACAGTAGCTGTTATTGCTCTTTTCAGTATTAATGGAGATTTCCTTCCTAACCTTTTCTTTGAAGTAGTGTGGAATATCAACATTTCACTATTATTTCCATTTGAGTTACATGTTCCTTTTCAATAATAGACGAAACAAGTCTGGAGTAGTAAAAAAATAAATAAAAAATAACCAAGACTAAATAGACCGTAGTAGTGATTAATGAAAGCTATCTGACCACAATTTTACTGAAAAAAAGAGAGTAACTAATGAATTGAGTGGGTGTTTGGTGGAAGGGGATTAAAATAAAAAGCGTGAAGGCCAAATCAGGAGATTAACAGTGATTTAGAAATTGGTGCATTCTTTCTCTTCGCATTGTTCAGAATCAGATACACATACTCACACGACCATGACGATTCACTCATCAACATGTGTGGTTGCTGAGCTGAAACTAAGAATATACGGTATCAGGGTCATGACAGAGTAGGGTAAGCTGCAGGCACACTGAGAGAGAGAGAGAGAGAGAAACAAGAACCAAGATAGAAAAGAAACAGCAAAGAGGACAACTTTTACTAGGTTTGTCTAAGGGAGAAAAATAACCGGTAAAAAGCTACTTTTTACTATTATGTTATAGTAATAATAGTAAGAATAGTAATAACAGTGACAGTTGTAAAAATCATAATAATAGGAAGATGATGATTTGTTTTTTCAACGCCAAAAAACATTTTACGATTGTAAGTTCTAATAATTAACAAACCCTATCTTTGTTAGGGGGTGGGGTAGAAGAGGTGGATTCATACCTTTCCTAAGGGTATCTGTGTGTAAGTGAATATAAAGAACTTGACCCTCCAATTTCCAATTCAGAGTCATTATCTATTACACCACCCGCACATCCAAGCTTATAACACCTGGTATTCCCAAGCAGTCACCCATCTAGGTACTGACCAAGCTCGACGTTGTTTAACTTCGGTAATCGTACGAGATCCGGTGTTTCATCGTGATATGGCCGTAAGCAAGAAGAACTGAAGTTACACCAGGCAAAGATTCTAATTTTGGTTGTAGGTGTTAGCATGTACAGGTGTTGTCTTGGTGGATTAAGATGGGTGACAGTAAATATGTTTTGTACCACAGATTCAAATGCCTGTTCCCTGACCATAACCACTTGGGCATGTTAAACAAGGCGTTCATACATTGGACATTTTCTGGTCATGAGTGGGAATAGAAGAGGATCATCATTGCTGGTGTTCCTGAATTTGTTTTTTTTTTGGGGGGGGATGCGGCAGACAAGATGACTTGGGAGCACCCTCAATCGGAAACCACCTGAGCAGACTAGTTTTGATGCTGATTGTATCAAAATCTATCATCATATTGCACACATTTGGTTGCGTTGCATGTGTCCGTCATACTCTTATCAGATTGGATTTCATTATGAGTTTATGTGTATACGCAAAAGCTCATCAGACAACATGAAAATGTGGACGGATATGACAATGCCGGAACTCCTGTGAGACACCGCCAACAGATCATCCTGGAGGAGGTTGTCTGTTACTTCTGCGCTTAGGTAACCACCGACGATTGAAGCAGTCAATGCACTGATGATGATAATCATTGTATCCCAGCATCACTTTGTTGGCATACTGCTCTCCCAATAATAATAATAATATCAGCATCGTCTCATGTAGCGACAAAAGTCAACTGTAGAAGAAACTATATCTGTAAATGCAACGCCATTTTTCTTTCATAATAATGGTCAAGTTAATAGATTTAAGAATATTTATACGCTTGACTTACTTAATTTCGAATATCTTTATTTTATTTTTTAATCATTTTATTCCAAACAAAGTGATAATGTCCCTATGACGCAAAGGATTACTGTGAGTGAAAGAATAAGAAAACTTTAGAAGGAACCGGGAACCCAACTCTAAACATGAAACAAAGGATAAACCTCTACTCCTGTTCAAAAGACCGGGGAGGTATGTGAACCGAGTTTTTACTTTTAGATTTAACCCCTTACTTAAATATACAGTGGAACCTCGGTTCACGAATTTAATTCGTTCTTGAAGGCCGTTCGTAAACCGAAACTTTTCTCCAATAGTAGAGAAAAAGTCACAGTACAATAAAATTGGAAAATAAAATCACGGCACAACACACGAATGTATATAACACGGCGGTCGACTCAGAAATGATTCCGTTCGGATTAATTCGGTTCAGCAATGTTGTTCGAGAACCGAAATTTTGTTCGATAACCAAGGTATTTTCATCTTGAATTTTCTGTTCGAAAACCGATTTGTTCGACATGCGAAACATTCGAGAACCGAGGTTGCTCTGTATATGTCTTATACGAAAAAAATTATTATAATGTTCAACTTTCTACATCAATTACTAACATTTCCATCAATTCTTTTAATGTCTTATATATCTAGTGTTAACAATATTCAAGTAAAGAATGTTTTGTCCGATTCTCAACTTTATAATATAGTCCTCACTTCCTTTACGAAAAGGATGGCAGGTCATCCACATCGACATTTCTTCATTTGTACTTTGTGATCTAATATTGTCTTGACATCGTCATAAAGACTTACATATCAATACGTAAAATCGAAACAAGTAGGAAATTTGGTTTCGAGACTAGATTTATTTAGTGAGATTATATCAATAAGCAAAACATTATATGACATCTACACTTTTCAAATAGTGTTCCATGACAACAACAAATTAACAAACATTATTTAGTTAACCCATTAAGTACGGTAAAAATTGTCCGTCCTTTTACAGCCTAATGATAAAACACACCGAGTTACAAGTGGGATTTCCCCAGAGAAAAAAAAATGAGGTGAATACAAGTTCGATCTTAGCGAACTGCTTCATGTTTAATAATTCTTTCGATGATCTAGGCCAACAGACCTTAACTTCACTGTTTGAAAATAAGTAATGATATCTGCTTAAACACGTGTACCAACTAAAATAACCTTCATAGTAGTAGATTATATAGATAGATAGAAATAATTAGGAGAATTTGAAATAATCATAATTAAGTAATTCATCGAGTCTAGAAGAAACCTCAACAGAATGCCGAAACCACTGGACGGCCGTTTCGTCCTATATTTGAGACTCATCAGCAATGCGCATCCACTACCGAGAATTGAAACCCGAACAGTTACGATAGGAGGCAAATACCATACCAATTGTACCAACGGGCCTCGGTGACGAAGAGGTAACAAATTAAACATATTCCTTGGTGAAACTCACCCGAGTTTCTCTTTTACCCATAGGACTGTGCCTCCACGAGCCACGGCTACTACCCCCAAGCCGCTCAGTCAAGAGCATTAGAAGCCGGTTCAAGCAAGGATATAAAGTGATAGAAATTAGGAGGATTTGAAATAATCATAATTAAGTAATTCATATATATTTATTACATAGACGTTATTTGTCTATATGTTTAACATATGTGGCTTAACTCTTTCTCTGTTACAGAGCCTTCAGTTAGGATCATCGTCAGTTGCAATTATATTTAAAAGTAAAATATGTAAAACTTTCATTATTTTTATTTTGATCTGTTATCCTAATCACTACATGGAATATATATATGTGTCAAAAATCTAAGTTTATTCACTAAAATATTTTAAAAAACTGAGTATGCTGGTTGGAGTTCGAATTCCAATTGAGTTCATTATATTAACTTACGCATTAATAATCTTCTCTACTCCCCCCCATCTATGGGTAAATAGCAGGACAGACTGGGTCCTAGAGTCCTGGTTGGCGACTAGTCTAGCAAAAGGAAAACTCTGGATTCAAACCAGAAGTTTGGGCTATCTTGCCCAAGATATGAGCTCAACTTGAGGTTTGGAGTTAAACTGAGTCCCAATAGATGTTCCAGACAAGGAGCCTCGTTGATAGTTCTAATATTTATCAAGACTGGAGCAAATTCAAGGTCTGCTCGTTGGTGAAACGTTACAAGATTTGTTTTGGAGGCATAGAATGAGACAATCCAATACACATATTGAGTAGCGAGAATTGAGGTCAGCAGATGGAACAGCTGCCAAGCTTTGGTTATCTAGATTGTACCGAACGAGCTGTTTGCTTACAAATGACTGCGCCAGTTCCAGAAAAAAATCTTGCTAGGAGGTAATGTCATTGGAGTAACGATAGTACCCAATAAATCTTGTACTGTACGAAGTCAAGCCAAATAAATATTTATTTAGATCATCACTATTACTGAAATGCTGGTGGTTTAGTTAGTTTTATCATCCTAGTTGCTCGTTTCCAAGTATAATCGTTTGCTAGCACGTCTGTGTTTATTCAACTACCACAGAGCCAACCTGTGATTTACATTGTAACTATGCTGAGCGAATCATCCTTACAGTATCTGGTAGAGAAAGCACCATCTGGTGTGATCAGTGACTGAACAAAAGCTAATTACGCTTAACATCTCGGTCTCGATGACTTGCGACTTCATGTTAGCAAAATTATAGACGGCTTCCAGTTTCGTTAACCCTTCACTAACAAGGTGTGATATGATTTCCAGACATTTCCCAACAGGACCTCACGCTGGGACCATCACCCTCGATCTTTTTTTATAATATTGACCATGATTGGAATGTAGTCACACACATTGGTCTAAAACTTATACAAGAGACTATGTGGAATAAAGTATGTTTAAACATGTTGTAGGTTCATAAAACGATCTGTTTTAATATTTAATGTTTGTCTTTTGTAAAGATAATATTTTAATTTTATATTAAGATTAGATTCATTATGTTTAGTTATAACGTCAATGATTCCCGTATAAGATAAAAGTTTAGTTGGTTCAGGAATTCGGTGACAAAGTAATTACGAGTTCAATTCCTGGGTCAGGCAGTGTGTACTTGAACTCAGTGGAAACATGGCGAGCAATAACTGAACAGTACTAAAAATAAGGACTAGACGAGGTATCACTAAACATGGACAATGTAACGATAACGGCCTGTAAATTAAATAAAGTGTTCAGTTCGAAATTGATTTCCGGTTAATCGGATCGATAATCAACTGATGAAGGTCAGGTGGTACAACGACCGAAACCTTGTGAAAGCAATAACAAAAATGAGGACAACAGTTCGAATGTAAATTGTGCAAAGTAATATTAATGAGTTGAAAGGGAATATTGATTAATTGATTCGTTTTCTACAGCTTATCAACCCTTTACAGGTTATTTAAAGCCAGTAAATATTTTTTACATTGTAAGACTTTCTTCTTTGGGGGAGGTAATAATGGTTTAGTGACGCACTTACTAATAATTAACCCATAGCCGGGGGAGAAGTAGTGGATACCTTTTCCACCGGGTATTTGCGCGTAAGTGTATATAACGAACCAAACTGGAATTAGAACTCTGCTCTCCGATTAACAATTCTGATCTATTATCCATTATACCACCGCACATCCAAGCTTAAAACACCTGGTATTCCAAAGCGGTCATTCATCTTGATACTGACCAGGCTCAACATTGCTTTACTTCGGTGACCGTACGGGAAAAACGTGCTGTTGCCCATAAGCCGAAGGAAATATCGCGTACATAGTTAGTTTTTTGTTTTTTTTGGTTGGGGATTTTGTAAGCTATCCTTTTTGCGTTATATTTACCAAATATAAGGCCCAAGAACTACTAAAGATAGATAGTGACAGTGTGGTATTCTCCGAGTGAAGGAAAAGGCAAGAAGTCCAGTTCATGAGATTATTTAGGAAAGACAACAGTAAACCCTAGACTTGAAGAGGCCAAGATTGTAGCTCATGAATTCAAAGCTCTCGTTATTTACTCGTGTCAATATAAAGAAAATAAGTGGAAAATAATTTTGAATTTCTCCAATATGTTTAGAAAATTCAGAAAAACAAAAGAGAATGATTCATATAAAACTAGGCACATAATATTTCTATCAACTCAATAACAACTACTGTATTTGAATACAAATGATAACTTATGTGAAATACACTTGTTCTATTTAATACTAAATAATTTTTTCTCTCTCATGTGGGCTACAAGCTTTGGAAATAGACATTCATCAAACCAGTCAGAAAATAAAACAAAGGCACAAACAGACAGCAACTTTTTCTTTTTTTTTCATGTTATTTTATATTTCTCTAAGCCGCCACGGATTTAAGAATTTGTTAATTTTGTCACTTTTCGGAATTTCAAATCAAAAGTTTGATGCGTATTAATCATATTCTTTGAATTAAGTGTTCTTTTGGCATTAAATATAATAGCAGGTGAGGTGGACAGGCCGGAAGACGGACAAAGGCAAGTAGGCGAGAGCAGAGGCTGGGGAGTCGCGCAGAGGCAAGCGGACGCGGAAACTGGGTAAGTAGACAGTGACAGGCGGGCGGGTGCAAAGACCGGGTAGGCAGACCGAGGCAGGTATGCAGAGAGTAGCAGGCGGACAGGTGCAGAGACCGGAGAGACAGGGAAGCGGACCAAGAGAACGGGGAGGCAGACAGAGGCAGGCGGGCGAAGAGGCCGGGTAGGCAGACAGAGGCAGGCGGACGCAGAAACTGGGTAGGCAGACAGAGGCAGGCGGACGCAGAAACTGGGTAAGTAGACAGAGACTGGGTAGGCAGACCGAGGCAGACGGGTGGGCGGGCACAGAGGCTGGGTAGGCAGAGACAGGCGGACAGGTACAAAGGTTAGGGAGGCAGACAGACGAAGAGGCCGGGAAGGCAAGCAGGCAGGCGGGCGAAGAGGCCGGGTAGGCAAACACAGTTAAGCGGGTGCCGAGATTGTGTACCACAAAATTTTAAACACAGGTGAAAATTTCCAGTTCTTTTAATGAATCATACTTGCAGTTGGCATGATCATAAATTTACACATCGTTACCTTAAAACTGATAAAAACAAAACGTTTATAATTAACTATTTAGATGAGAGACTTGATTAATTTGTAAACGGTTCCGCAAAAGTCGAAACTATTTGGAAAATCTACTGGATTTTCTTCTTCGGAAAAAAAATCCAATTAATACTTTTTTGAGCCACCATCAGAGCTAATTAATTAGAAAATCTGGTACGCTTTCAACTAATAAAGAAATTCATCAAGTACCGCATTCCAGCCTTAAATCGCCTCCCACTTTTGAAAAATCCTTCCTTTCTAACCATCCCCATACATGTTCAATTGTTAAGACCCGGGCTGTTGGCCAACTAGACCAAAATATTTATACTTTGCTCTTTAAGAAAATGTTCTTTCCAACATGACCTGCTGAAATATCAATCGTAGACAGTCCATCCAAATATCTGCTACTAAATTTTAATTTATTTTTTTTTTTTTACATATCTAAGTATCCTGCTTTGTTCTGGCCCCATCCCTTTCCCTGTCAGTGAGCTGGGGTACCATCTCCGTACCGTAACCTACGGCCCTCCACTAGAACATTTCAATTCAAGTTAGTAATTCTATGAAGAAGTTCATCTAGGCTATCCATGTTGAATTTCCTATCTATGAAGGACGACACTCCGCCACTGGTAATTTGATAAAATTTTGCAAAATCGCATCTGCATTGTTTGGGAGTCATTTTCAAAACTAGACGCTGCAATCATTTTCTGTGTCTGACACCCGATTTATTAATTGTTCGTTCGATTGTCTCTTTATGAACTTGAACTTCCATTTCTGATTTTAGACTGATTGGGATTTTATCACAGTCCTTTGATAACGAATCGGATCTCCTGGTTCTTGACGCTATAATTTTCTGGAACAATTCGCTCACTTATCACCCGTTGTGACGGCCCTTGATCCAACAATCTTACTACGTTCAAAATTGGACCGTTTTGGAACCTTTACCTATCGATTTGACATCAATAAAATACCATTTTTTTTTTCTCCGACTCACGGGTTTTTGATCAATTATGTCCGTCGCGACTGGGTGGGTGAGTTGTCTTCGTTCCATCTGATAGTTGATTTGGAATTCTTTTATAGGTCTTTCCTAGCCCATCTTGTGTTGTTTAGGCCCTGGAAAAGATGTGTCCGACAAATCTACCGGATCTCTGGAACAAGATGAAACTGAGCATGCTAAGCGAATTACAGCGGTATAATAAATAACGGAATAAGTCAATTATCTTCTTATAAACAAAAAGTTGGTTTAATTTGATTTCGGCAATATTCACTACTGTTGGTGTTGTGAGTGTAAATATTAGCTACAACAAAATGAGACTACTTGTTCAGGTAAATTCTTTTTACTTCTATCTGACAAAGTACTTAGTGGTGGGAGAGCCGCTACAATATAGTCTGGCAAAAGGGTCTGCGTTCTGGTGACTGTCCCAAGCGGTCTCTCGTACATGAATACGAGCTAAATTCTTCTCCAGCCATAATTCAGCCCGCTCTCGAAATGTTTATCCTTTCAAAAATTGGCTATCGTCCCTGACTCACAGCTGGGTGAGAATACCCTTACGCTAGCCAGTAGGAATTTATATTTTCTGTTTAACTGTTTCAAACCATTCAGCGCAGTTTTATCGTCTTCCAAAATTTGCAATATTCTGTTCTGAGGTCCCAATATTGTTACACCAATTTTAGTATCAAAAGTCTAAAATTGAACTTTGAACATTTTATATCCCATGAATTGTAAACAAATTTAAAGTTTAGCGACAACGAAACTTTTCAGTGATTAAAAACAGTTTAATTATTTGACAGTATTTAAAAAAATGAATTACCGTAATAAAAAAAAAAAAAAAAAAAAGAACGCAAATAAGTAATAAGATTTTTCAAAATGTTCACCCGAGGTTAAAATTTTGTGATGCATCATCGACAGATATTCAAACTATCCAGACAGGTAGATAAAAGATCAAACTGCCCAGACAAACTGGGAAAGAAAATGAGAGATATTTACTTACTTTTGTCATGCAAATTGCCTGTATAAAAGTTTCTACTTATTTTTTTTTTTTAAATAACAATGCCGAAAGAATAAAATAATTCAAAGCATTTCTAGAATTTTTCCGACTTTTTTTTTTCCAAATGGCGGCTGTATATTGAGAAAGAGAGAATGTGAAATTAAAAAAAAGCCTTTTAATCAATTCAGTTTAAGTTTTTTTTTTTTTTGTTGATCTCTTTTGTGCCTTGTCAGTTATCAACCACAAAAGGAAGTGCACCTACATCCCAGCATGCCCTACTGCAACAGTAAACTTTAAGCCAGTTTTGTTCAGTGCTCTGCCATGCGTTTTCTTATATGAAAGCTTGTTGCTTGTTTATGCATGTATGCGTGTGGCAGCACTTTTTCAAAATGCCTAGTCCTATTTTAACCAAAGATTATTGCATTCTATGTGCACTGTTCCAACTTTTTAGTGTGAAAGAACATCCCATAAATTGATCAGAACAAAGGAGGGTCGAGATAGATAGATAGATAGATAGATAGATAGATAGACACACACACAACAGTAAGGTTCTCTCTGGGCCACTCGAGATAGTGGTTTACAGTAAGAGGCAGTTTATATAAATAGAATTTATAATTACTCACGCTCTGTCCCTGATCTTGAGCACCTTTACCCAAAAATATAGCATACCTTAACACTATATTTTCATCATTTTATATATATATATATATATATATATATATATATATATATAACTAGATACCGATTGACATTAGATTTAAATTTTTGCAGATTAAAGTTGGCTGAAAACCGTAGAGCCGGAAGGGTTTCCACAAGCGAGATGTGCGAAAAAAAAAACTGTTAGCATAGAATTTACGGCTACATTTAGTCAGTTCAACTGTAAACTCATGAGATCTAGACGCCAGTCTAGTGCTGCGCTAAAATTTAAAAAAATCCAAGTACCTATAGCGAAGAGCTCATCCGAACAATTACCATGAAAGTATTTATAGAAAAAACAAAAAGAGGCAACCTAACGGCGATGTAAAAGTGACTGAAGCTGAGCCGACAGATGAGGATCAATTATATTGATAATTCTTCTTTGGATTTTATAAAGAAATTTAAGGAAAATAGCAGGAGCATCGGACCATATGTGGTAGCAATAATCTAAACATAGATACCTGCAAATCTACCATTGATCTCAGTTAATTTCCGGATAGAAACAGTCTTGCACGATACAGTGAACCAAATTTCTTAACAGCTGACCTAGCAATGGATCCAATATGTTCTAAAATGAGGAAATTTAAGTTTGCTAAATTCGAAGCTATTTTATAAAACTAAGTTTTTTTTTGGGGGGGTGCACAACAAAAAGATTTCAGATTTAAGAAAAGTGGAAATTTAAAAAATATATATTATGTAGTTTTTTTTGGGGGTTTGGGGTGGGGGATTTAGTATTTTCCCCCATATAAGAAAAGTTCCAAGATATGTCCGGGTTGTAGATCTCCTTCATTTGGTTCCCGAAACGAATCGTCTAAACAATTCTTAGAATATTACGTCATAACATAACACTGTTTTTTTTTTTTTTTTTTGTTTTTGTTTTTTTTTTTACAGCGAGATTCACCCTGTACAAAACCCGGGAGCCACTCGAGGTAGAGGGTTGCAGAGTATATATTCCTGGATATGGGCAATAAAACGAGAACAGTCTACCCCCGGAGATTAAATAAAGGATTCAGTTCAGAATTCCCTGTAGGTTACCCAGATCGACACACACCTGATGAAGACCGAAGGCACAACGACCGAAACCTTGTGATAACAAAGATGACGATAATAATTCCCATAACTCCTCGTCCCAGAAATTGAAAGATTTTATATCATAGATTGAAAATATAGATTTCTGTTTAATTCTGAATGTTTTCTATCAAAATCTATTTTAAATAACATTAGAATGTTTTTTGTTAAACGGTGAATTTAATGTCTCGATTTCATAGACAACATTCTAATCTGTTAAATACGACTAAATCCCTAAACATCAGATTTATTACAACAGCTCGTAAAACAAATTTATTAAAGTGTCTTTTCTTTTAAAAAGTCTAAATTTTCTACTCAATACACAAAGTACTAAACTAGCATGACAGAGAAGCCAGGTCGTACCTGAATAAGCCCAGTTGTATTTCCATAGTCTGATGGGTGCGTTCGACCGTGCGCGAAGCATCGGGAACTGCTACTCATGAATATAGGGACACCTAACCTGGATAGATCGGCCGAAACGTCAGCGATCGATGTTCAGATGGATCACCAAAGCACACGCTGGAGACATGGTGGAGTAATGGATATCGGCTTGGATTGAGGAATCGGAGAGCCGAGTTCGAATTCTAGTCGAATCCATTACATTCACTTACGTGAATCCTCTTCTCCCCCCCCCCAGCTATGGGTAAATAGCAGGACAGACCGGGTTCTATAGCCTTGAATGACAACTGGTCTACCGCAGAAAGAAATGGCAACCTATTGCGGGAAATTATGTATCGAAAGATACATGATCGCTTAAGCGCGTATCACGCATGTCACATAACTGAACACAAAGTAGCTTTAACAATGCATGCAAAAGAAAATAAAAATAAGGGGAAAGCAATTTTCAATAGAGAACGATCAAAACACATACCTAATCTCACATCCAACAAGTTCTATAACAGGAAACTTCGATTCTCACCAACACACATCCTAATGACAATGACATTTTTACTTTTACTCATAAGTTTCTACAAACCCTTCTATTGCATGTATTACTTTATCTAAATACCTCTCCCCCTTTCCCATTGAATAACTGGACATTAAAATTCATGCCACTACATATAATACTAATAATAATATATATTAAAATGACTCGTTAAAAATATTTTAGTATCTGTCTATATCTCCGAGATGAGGTATTATGATTACTTACATTATTTGAATTGTTATCCTCATCTTCATTGTCATATTCACGACGTTCCAACCGTTTTCAGGCGATTGGAATTTCGAACCGAAATTTCATCCACCGGGGGGGGGGAGATTGCTCTAGTTCCACGTACCATGCCTCTTTCGGATGTCTCAGTTATTTCACTTTAACTCAACTCTTCAAGTTTTAGTCATCACTGCTGTGGCCTGGTATTGAACTCACAACTCTCTGGGTCTAGCCACTGGATGTAACCAACGTTTTTATCCACTGGGCCATGTGGACGAAATAAAGGATTCGGTTCGATTTTCCAGTCACCTGAAGAAGGCCGGAGCGTACAACGGGCGTATGGCAATGAAGATGAGGATAACAATCCGAATAATGTAAATAATGTAAGTAAAAATATTTTATTATGATACTTTCAAACCTGTAGCTTCAGTGTCAATGAACTTTCTAGCACTGATTAATATTAGTTATCTTGCCTTGTGTATGAATTTACTGTCTTGGGTATACAGCTATATAATTACTTTTTTTTATTGTATATTATTTCTTTTATCAGTTTAAACGTTTTCCTTTATTAAACTTAAACGATTAATGGGAATAAATGATTTTATTCGAGCTATAGAATAAGTGAGAACAGCACAATGAAAATAACAGGCAAAGTCAGTTACTATAATAGTTGAAGGAGAAGAAAAGGAGATACATCCCGAACAACTTTTATAAAAATAAAATTGGCAATACCATATAGACAATATGGGGCTTTGTGGGAACAGAAAGAGACCCCCTCCTTCTTCAGATGAGAAAAAAAAAATGAATTGGGCTGAAGACGGCCACTCTCGTGATTGCGTCTGGTGTGCGTAGTATTCTCTTAGCGTTCTTTTCAGCAATGATGCCGTTGATGAAGGAAGGAAAGATCTAAAGATGGATAAAGGAGTGCAGTGGGGAGCCGTGTGTGGGAATGAAGCCGTATGAAAGATCAGCAAATGATGAGGTGAACTGTGTTTGATTTGTGATGAAAGCGAGAAGCCAAAACAGATTTTTTTTTTACTTTGTCGTAAAAGAAAAGAAGTAAAGAAAAGAAAAAACGAAGAAAAAGAAGTAAAGAAAAGAAAAAACGAAGAAAAAGAAGTAAAGAAAAGAAAAAACGAAGAAAAAGAAGTAAAGAAAAGAAAAAACGAAGAAAAAGAAGTAAAGAAAAGAAAAAACGAAGAAAAAGAAGTAAAGAAAAGAAAAAACGAAGAAAAAGAAGTAAAGAAAAGAAAAAACGAAGAAAAAGAAGAAAAGAAAAAAAAAAGAAAAAAAAGTAAAGAAAAGAAAAAACGAAGAAAAAAGAAGTAAAGAAAAGAAAAAACGAAGAAAAAAGTAAAAAAAAGAAAAAAGAAAAAGAAAAGAAAAACGAAGACAAAAAACGAAAAAAGAAGACAAAAACGAAGAAAAAAAAGACAAAAACGAAAAAAAAAGAAGACAAAAACGAAGAAAAAGAAGACAAAAACGAAGAAAAAGAAGACAAAAACGAAGAAAAAGAAGACAAAAACGAAGAAAAAGAAGACAAAAACGAAGAAAAAGAAGACAAAAACGAAGAAAAAGAAGACAAAAACGAAGAAAAAGAAAAAAAAAAAGAAAAAAAAAAAAAAAAGAAAAAAAAAGAAAAAAAAAAAAAAGGAAAGAAAAAAGAAAAGAAAAAAGGAAAGAAAAAAGGAAAGAAAAGGAAAAAAAAAAAAAAAAAGAAAAAAAAAGGAAAGAAAAAAGGAAAGAAAAAAGGAAAGAAAAAAAGGAAAGAAAAAAAGTAAAGACAAAATGGTTTTCAAAAAAGTAAAGACAAAAATTTGGTTTTCCTCGATTATTTTTTTCGTTCAGTTGTGGTACACGAAATCAGCCAGTAAGGATTTAGTTCTCGTCCTTCAAATTTACCCATTAATTGAGGCACACCGCCAGGTCAGACAGTACGGAGGGCGAAGCTATGGTCCCCGAAATAACGGCGGCCTTTAGGAGTCTGTTGGGTGGGATAAAGTTACCCTCCTACCAAGGCAACCTGGCCGAGTTTCATGATTGGTAGCTGTACAAAAGAAACAGCTGGTATACGGGTTGACAGACCGGGAGATGGTGCTGTTGGTATATGAGGCAGCAGAGGGACCAGTCTCAAAATTTATCGGGAGTTTATACAGAGAAAACCCTCAGATAATATGGGACGAGCTGAAGGGAACCCTAATCAGACGATATGCTAGCGAGTGAACAACCATAAAGGCGGTTCGAAAATTGTTTAGGATTAAACAGAAAGCAAGGGAAACTCTAGAAGACTTTGGAGATGGGATTAGCGGGATTAGCATTCCCGAATCCGGAAATAAGAGAAAATGAGGCGATTCAGGCGTTGTTAGCAGACGCTTTCATCCGTGATGCTGACGTGTGGGGTGATGTCCTGTGGATTCTAAAGGTAGCTAAAAATAGCGAGAGGATCTGGGAGAGGGTAAGAAATGGCAGAGACTAGGGAAACCAAAGACCCAGGGGTTGGAAAAGTACATAGAAGGGCTCCAGGCATGGGATAGTGAACATAAAACCCCATAAGAACACGAAAGAATGGGATATACAGTACGGATTTTATAAGTCCACTCCCGGTCGGTACGTTGGACCTGCAATTACGGATGACACAGGGCCAGAGACTGTCCCATCAATTCGGGAGAAGACCCCAGGTCTCTAGGTCCGAAGTGCACTAAGTGCAGAAGTTTGGGCCTCAAGGTAAAGTGGTGCACAGATGCAAGGGATAAGAGACTAGGGATTAAGAAAATAGACATCCTAGTACCCCCCCCCGAGAATAATAAGCGTTTGGAAAACGATAGTGGGACCCCCGTAGAGAAATAAGAGACAGGGTGGCCCCCAATAAAAATAATACCTCTGAAGTGCTGGACATGCGGTGTGGCTGGACATTTTTTAGCCAACTGTAAATGGCGAAGCTGTTGGCAATGTGGAAAGGTTGGTCACTTGAGAAGAAATAACTGTCCAGAGAAAAAGGGTGCTGGGAGTGGAAGGGTAGAGGCAAGGAGGTCGAGAGGACTAGTCCTCACTCCACCCAAGGAAAACTCCAAAAGAAGCTGGCCTAGGGTAGCAAATGATGAGTCCCTATTGCCAGCACCCAGGTCGAGACTTGAGAGAGATAGAGATAGCCGATCGGGAATTAAAAATAAGGGGAGGTTTAGGAATAGGAACAGAGCCCAGATATTTCAGCTGTTTAAACAGGGACCGGACTTCACCTGTAATGTATTTGTGGGGCACAAGACGGAAAAAACTTTAGTGCATACTGGAGCTTCGGTCTCCTTAATAAATTCCAAGGTGTTTAGACAGGTGGGGTTATGTAGAAAACTCCAACCAGTAGATTTCTTAATTAGCCAGGCAGGTGAGAATAGAGGGTATGACATGACTACTATTCAAATTGGCAAGGACCACAGGTGAACTTAACATGTATGTGACACCTGATTTGTGTGGGGGAATTAATTTTGGGGAGTGGCTTAAGCTGAACAAGGCCCAAATCCGCTTTGACCCGACTACATTAATCTTAGAAGGGGTGGAAATCCTAGAATGGTTATTTCATGTGAAGGAAGGAAGGATAGAGTGGAGAAACTAACGGAAGGGTTATATCAAATAATACCTACAGAGAGGTATGATAATGGTGAAGAGGTAACCGTGCGTAGTTCTATGGTAGTAGGAATAAAAACGGTGCCCCTGTTATTGGCTAATACAGCCAGTAAAACTACCACAATAAAACAGGGAGAAGAGTTAGGTTATGCCTGTCCGATAAATTAAGAAAATGAGAGTAAGCAAGAACTATGGAAGAAGGGTGGAGACTAGTATCCCCAAAATAAAGGAAGAAGACTTGATAGTGTCTGAAAGATATAAAGATGAGATAAGGAAACTGCTAGAAGCTAATCGAGATGTGGTAGCTAATACTGACAAAAAGTTGGGACAGAACGGAACAGTACGTATGAAAATAGACACTGGTGACCACCTACCCATTAGATTGAGGCCTTATAGGACCCCCAATCCATAAGAGAACATTAGTGGAAGAAGCAGTAAATAAGATGTTGAAGTCGGGAGAAATCAAAGTCCCCATGGAGTTTTCTAATAGTTACTGTGGAAAAGAATGATGGAGAACATAGATTTTGCGTGGATTTTAAACAGTTAAATGCCATTACAAAATCGTTAGCGGTACCTTTGCCACGGATCGATGATATTCTAGCACTTTTGGGAAGATCAACATGTTTTTCTGCTTTGGATCTAAGGTCAAGGGCAGGTAGCTTTGTATGAAAAGGACCAGGAGCAAACAGCTTTTACTTGTCATATGGGTCTATTTAATTTTCGTGTGATACCATTTGGGTTATCTAATGCCCCAGGTGTATTCACTCAGTTTATGTCCCTAGTGTTAGAAGGTATGGAAGATTTTGCCATGGCTTACCTGGACGATATCATGGTGTTTTCTAAGACACCCGAGAAGCATTTTAGACACTTACAGAAGGTGTTTGATAGGCTGAGAGAGCACGGGTTGAAATTAAAATTGCCTAAGTGTTAAGGCAAGTACTTGGGTTTCTTTATAAATAAAACGAGAATAAAATCTGATTTAGATAAGGTGGAAGTGATAAGGGCTATGCTGGATCCAAGAAAGTGAGAGAGGTTCGTGACTTTATAGGAACCATTGAATATTACAGGCGCTTTGTGCATGCGTTTAGCAGATTAGCAGGACCCTTGATAGCCTTGACTAAGAAGTATGCTAGATTTAAGTGAACGGAGGACTGTCAACGAGCCTTTGATACCCCCAAGCACCAGCTGACAGCAGTACCCTTGCTGATTTAACCAAACCTGAACAAGCCGATGGCGCGGTACTTACCCAGCCTTGCCTCAATAAGGATGGATCAGTGCCAGGTATACCTGAGGAAGTGCCTATATATTTTCTGACCTACAGACTATCAGACACCCAACAGAGATGACCAGTGATAGAAAAGGAAGCGTTTGCCATTTTATATGCAGTACAAAAATTAGATTATTACTTAAGTGGGGCCGTATTTACTTTTAAAACTGACCATAAGACCCTCAAACATTTATTAGAGGCAGAGTGGACAAATAAAAAAGATTCAGCAGTGGGCACTGAAGCTTAGTGGCCATCAGTGTAATCTGGAAAGGATAATACCTGTACAGATCTGTTATCAAGAATTCCAGAAAGATTAGAGTCCGAATCCATTAGGTCAGAACCAGGGTTGGATGACAGGGCTTATCAAGTTAATGTGATAAATTCTCACACTCTAAGTAAACGTCCAATTTGGAAGGAAGAGGAATATGAGGAGAAAGAAATTATTAGGGACCCTCATTGAGAATCTATGATAGAGAAGAACCAGGAAGATAGCGAAATTACTTCTCTGAGGAGTAAGGTAGAAGCAGGGACTACCTCTAAATATACACAATGGAGTGTTGAATTACATTTCGGGACGAGAGTAAGAAAGAAGTCTCAAAATAGTAATATCAAAAATGTTAAGACAAGAAATCTTAGTCCAGTGTCATGAAAAGGTAGAACACATGGGGGTTGATAGAACCTATGAATTGATGGTCAGGAATTATTTTGGGCCTAGACTGTATAATGACGTATTGAATTATGTGAACAAGTGCATAATGTGTCAATCACCGAGTAGAGATAATAGGGTCGCCCCAGTGATGGAAACAGATATTCCAAATTATCCATTTCAGAAGGTGAGCATAGATATTTCAGGGCCCTATGGACAAACTCCTCGTGGAAATGCGTATATAGTAAGCTTCGTGGACTCGAGGAAGTAGAGAAAAAAAGAAAAAACAGTATGAAAGAAAGATAGAAGGAAATAATCGGAAGTCAAGACGGAAAAGCGAACCGAGAAAGAAAGGAAAGAAGAAAGGACGAAGACTAAAAAGGAAATGGTTAAGGAAGCGAAAGGAAGAAAGAAAAAGGGAGATAAGAATGGGAGAAATAATCTGAAAAAGAAACAAACAAAGGGAGAGAAAAACAAACAAACGAAGGGAGAGAAAAACAAACAAACGAAGGGAGAGAAAAACAAACAAACGAAGGGAGAGAAAAACAAACAAACGAAGGGAGAGAAAAACAAACAAACGAAGGGAGAGAAACAAGAATGTAAATATCCAAGAATGGAAGGAAAGGTGAAAATGAAGAGGAAAAAGAATAAAAGAAAGACAAAAATGAATGAAAAGACAGAAAGGAGATAAAAAGCAAAGAAACATAAAGACAAAAAGAGGAGAGAAAGGAGAGAAGTAAAAAGAAAAATTAGAAAAAGAAATCACTTGCCAAAAAGAACAAAATAAAAAAGAGAACAATAAGAAGAAGGTAAAAGATGTGTAGATGAAACCAAAAATCGATTGTAAAAAAAATCAATTACGACTGATTCTAATGGACAAAGCAAACTATAAGCGCAAAAAATTATAGTGACGTAAAATTGAAAAGAAATGTGCACAAAATAAATAAAATTCTTGATTTTTAGTTGCGGCGTGAAAATAGAGAGAAGGACGAGAAACACAATAGGCGGGAAAAGTTGATGACGTCATGCAATGGCCGTGGCTGCATCGACAGTGTCTCGGGTCAACGCTTCAATGTTTGAATTCTGGGTTGTTGAAGTACTCACAATCTGAAACGATATTTATTATGACAATTGTTTTTCTGAACATTAATAGTAAAAAGAACAGAGCCAATCTCTTCGACAAAGATTAGTACTCGAGCGTTCATCTAATTACTAACAATCCTATAAGAAAGAAAGAAAAAAAAAAAAAAAAAAAGGAAGTTGTGGAAAAGATATTTTTATGTGCATTTAGATCAAAATATACATTTTTTGTAGCATCTTTAATTTAGTATACTTAAGCATTTAAATTATTTTTATTAAATTTTTGTCTGATATTTCTTTCATCTTAATTTCAGTTGCTTTGGATTGCAAATGTCCAAACTGTCATTCTACGGAGATTAACATTATTAGAAAGGAAAAAGAAACGAAGAGAAGGAAAAAAAAAAACAAAGAAACGAGGATTAAAAAACAACGAAAAGAAAACGAAGAAAACCAGGATCAGACAAAGAAAGAAACAAAGGGGGGGAGAAAAGGAGCAAAAGAAACAAAGGGGGGAGAAAAGGAGCAAAAGAAACAAAAGGGGGAGAAAAGGAGCAAAAGAAACAAAGGGGGGGAAAAGGAGCAAAGAAACAAAGGGGGAGAAAAGGAGCAAAGAAACAAAGGGGGGAGAAAAGGAGCAAAGAAACAAAGGGGGGAGAAAAGGAGCAAAGAAACAAAGGGGAGAAAAGGAGCAAAGAAACAAAGGGGGGGGAGAAAAGGAGCAAAGAAACAAAGGGGGAAAAAGGAGCAAAAGAAACAAAGGGGGAGAAAAGGAGCAAAAGAAACAAAGGGGGGAAAAAGGAGCAAAAAACAAAGGGGGGAAAAGGAGCAAAGAAACAAAGGGGGGGAGAAAAAGAAAAAAGGGACAAAAGGGGGGGAGGGGGAGGAAAAAAGAAACAAAGGGGGGAAAAAAAAAAAAGAAACAAAGGGGGGAAAAGGAAAAAAAAACAAAGGGGGGAAAAAGGAGCAAAGAAACAAAGGGGGAGAAAAGGAGCAAAGAAACAAAGGGGGAGAAAAGGAAAAAAAAAACAAGGGGGGGAGAAAAAAAAAACAAGGGGGGAGAAAAGAAAAAAAAAACAAGGGGGGAGAAAAGGAAAAAAAACAAGGGGGGAGAAAAGGAAAAAAAAAAACAAGGGGGAGAAAAGGAAAAAAAAACAAGGGGGAGAAAAGGAAAAAAGAAACAAAGGGGGGAGAAAAGGAAAAAAGAAACAAAGGGGGGAGAAAAGGAAAAAAGAAACAAAGGGGGAGAAAAGGAAAAAAAAAAAACAAAGGGAGAGAAAAGGAAAAAGAAACAAAGGGGAGAAAAGGAAAAAGAAACAAAGGGAGAGAAAAGGAAAAAGAAACAAAGGGAGAGACAGAAAATAGTGAATATGAGAAAAATATAGTAGTGGTAAATAATCTGAAAGAGTCAATTGGTTTACTAGCAGATTTCGTCTTAATTCGGGCAAAATTTCATAAAAAACTTGATCAAAATATCTGCTGCGAAAAATTAACCGGAAATGGTGATTAACAGCGTTAAGTTGCACATTCACTTTAGTAGGTGTTTAAAAAATGCCGAATGCGAAGAATGTGAAATATGAATCGATTAAAATGCATGCAGTGCGACTTGAAAAGGAGACCAACTGATTTACTGAAAATGAAGCTGAATTTCTACAAAGTTTAATATTAGAATCGATTTTGCAAGCAGTATGAGATTCATACCAGAAAATACCAGGCGTCTAAATCGAAATTGGAACATTTAATCTAAAAGGAGTTGATCTGTGGTGATCCCAATATGTAATGGATTCACTCAAAGTGATACCAAAGTAAGCTTCGCACTCTGTGTCATATCAGAACATCAAAAGAGCTCGGTGCCTTAGAGAGTTGATCGAGAAGGTACCCTCATAATACCCAACTGCAAAATTGGATGTCAGTAACTGCGTTAAAATAAACAGGAAGTTAACCGGAAGAGACGAAGTTATATAAACGCCCTGACCCCCCAACGGAAAAAAGTCGAGTCCTCGTGAGAAGAAAGTCCTCCTAAAAGCAACAAACCCTCTATGGTCGTTAATATGACGGAGTCCAGAACTAAATAAACAATAATTTTATTTATGAAAAATTTAGTCCCTTATTACTAACACAACGTTATGCTCTTCGGTTGACAGAAATATTTCGTGGCTTTGATTGGTTAAAAAAAAAATGACAAAATTCAAGTCCTTGTAAACCGTGGTTATGTTTTCCGTTACAAGATATTCAATCAACCTCTCTGGTCATCTAATATATAAAAATTGTATTTTTTTTTTTTTTTTTTACAATGATGTTCACCCTTCACAAATACCAAGGGTAACTCGAAGGACAGGCTTATAGAGTAAAAGGCACAGCTTATGCGAATATATATCAAATATACACGGGTTTGTCGTTGCTTTGAAATTTTTTCATGCAGCCAATGCGGACTATCATTGTTTCGTCCGTGTGTTGTTTCTTATATTGAAATTGTCATCTTTGATAATGGCTTATGTAAGCCAAAAGCTTAGATTGGATTGAAACATGTATCAATATAGTGTTTTCCTTTCGTATTTCAATGATAATGTGATTAAGCTTATCAGACAATATGAAAATTTACTTTTACTTAAAACAAATAGACAAAACTTGTCTATATTATTTAATGAAAAATTGCTGCCTAAATACACACACACGTGTGTGTGTGTGTGTGTGTGCGATGATAACTGTTGTTAATCCTAGACTTGAACAGGTTAAGATTGTAGTGGTCGGGGAAGCAATCTTTTGGGAGTCGATTCCACAAGTCATTGGTTCGTTGGAAGAAGCTGCTCGAGTGGAACTTACATCTCACCAGAGGAGCGGGATATGAAGGGAATGAGAATAGAGCAGTGAGAGACTTGCGATATCTGTGAGAAAAGGTTTGCCGAGGGGGGAAACAACTGATCACCTACAAGGACGCTGAGACGCTTTTGGACTATTGAGAATGGAAAGTGAAGACTGGGAAGTCCCCGGCCATATATGGCAGCAGTACTCGATAATAAATAGTAAAAATAATTAACATAATATAGAGCTGCATTTTATATCAAATATTTCTTTGAATATGCATACACGTATCGAAATTCTATTATTTTTTCTTAATCTCAAATAAATCGTTAGTTTCGAAGTTCTTGTCGTTGCATTGATTGACTAATTTAATTTTTATGGCTCATCAACTCCTTGCATGTTATTTAACGCCACCAAAAAAAATTTTAGATTGCAAGAAATTTTTTGGAGATAATCATTTAGTGATACAAGTCTTAGTAATTAACCTATAGCTGGAGGAAAGAGACGGACTAATACATACCTTTTCTAACTGGAATTTGAACTCAGTTCTCCGACTAACTTATTCGGTGCCAATATCCATTACATAATCAACACATCCAAGCTTAGAGCATCTGGTATTCTCAAGCGGTCACACTCCTGTGAAAACCGCTAAATCGCACGAGATTATTTAGTAGCGTATACCCCACTATGGTCAATTCATATTGTAAATCAACGCGCGTGTTTTGGGACTGGCTAGATCTGGCCGGTCCATATAGAAACGATTACTATGAAATCGATTAATCTTAATTTTGTCCGAAAGTCGATCGTTGCTTATAGACCGAGCTCATCAATGGACTAATTACAAAGAATCCCATTGAATAATGGAGTCAATAAAATCGTTTCGATTTTGATTATTTGTGAGGTTATTTGTTTGTTAATATTCTCCGATTACAAAGTTTACAGATGCGTCTACAGTCCTCCTGATTACTCGTTCCTCTTAACGCTCATTATGAATGTTTTTTGCTCTTAATTTTCCACAAAACTGTAACGCCTTGAGAAACAAAGAAGTAGAAGAGGGGGAACGGGAGAAACGTAAAAAAAATTAGAGAGAGAGAGAGAGAGAACGAGGGGGGAAACAAAGAAGTAGAACAAGAGAGAACGGGAGGGGGAACAAAAAGTAGAAGAGAGAACGGAGGGAAGGGAACGGGGGGAAAAGAAGTAGAAGAGAGAACGGGGGGGAACAAAGAAGTAGAAGAGAGAACGGGGGGGAAAAAAAGAAGTAGAAGAGAGAACGGGGGGAAACAAAGAAGTAGAAGAGAGAACGGAGGGGGGAACAAAGAAGTAGAAGAGAGAACGGAGGGGGGAAACAAAGAAGAAGAGAGAAACGGAGGGGAACAAAGAAGTAGAACAAGAGAGAACGGGGGGAAACAAAGTAGAACAAGAGAAACGGGGGGGAACAAAAAGAAGAAGAAGAGAGAACGGGGGAACAAAGAAGTAGAAGAGAGAACGGGGGAACAAAAGAACGGGGGAAAAAGAAGAAAAGAGGGGGGGAACAAAAGAAGTAAAAAGAGAGAACAAAGAAGTAAAAGAGAGAACAAAACAAAGAAGTAAAAAAGAGAGAACGGGGGGAACAAAGAAGTAAAAGAGAGAACGGGGGGGACAAAGAAGAAGAACAAGAGAGAACGGGGGAACAAAGAAGTAGAACAAGAGAGAAACGGGGGGAAAACAAAGAAGTAGAACAAGAGAGAACGGGGGGGAACAAAGAAGTAGAACAAGAGAGAACGGGGGGGGAACAAAGAAGTAGAACAAGAGAGAACGGGGGGGAACAAAGAAGTAGAACAAGAGAGAACGAGGGGGGGACAAAGAAGTAGAACAAGAGAGAACGTAGGAAAGGAGAAAACAGAACCGATATATGAATAAATGTATGTGTATGAAACTTTATGAATACGTTTTCTTGTATGAGATTCTATGCTCTCTTAATTATGTGTGCTTCGTGATTAAGATTTTTCTATGAATTTTCGTGCGTTAAAAACAGCGAAAATAGAAAGATTCTGTTTGCATAGATGGGCATGTATATTTATGGCGTGATTTTGTAATGCAAATTTATTTACTTACAAGGAAGAAGTCCGCAATCGTGTCCAGTGTAGTTGTTAGTACACATACAATAGTTCGAAGCTGCTGTGCACTTCCCATTTTTCGCACAAGTAACGCCCCACCGTCGACAATCAAAGTCTACTTTCTGAGCTACAGAAAAAAAACAATAAGATAAAATAAAATTAGACATTTAAAATACAATACATACATAAGTTATTGGTCAGAGTTGAATTAGACTATGAAACAGTAATATTAAAAATTGGCCAATACACTTATAAAGAAAAGAAACAATTACTATGCAAAGCTTTTGAAATAATATTAATAATAATAATAATAATAAAAGAGATCAGCCGATGACGCTACCTTGGTTTCAACGAAGGTAGCGCGATCGTCTGATCTTATATATATATATATATATATATATATATATATTTAGGCATCCAAACAAGTTTAATTAAAAAGAACTAACAAGGAAGGTCTATGTATAATATTTTTTTTTGTATGGTATTTTTCCAATTTTCAAGTAAGGTTTTGAGTCTTGTGCTCGAAATTCTGGATAAACAGTCTGAAGTTCATATTGTGTTTTTTTTTTTTTGTTCAAGTACTTTCGACCAACTCAAACATTTTCAAGAACTAATTTGGGGATTTTGTGGTAGACCAAGAAATTCTAACTACCATATATAAACAAAGCTTAATTCTTCAAGTCGAAGGTCAACCGTTATCTATCGTATATAATCCCAGTCTTTTCTCCCCCTATCCTACCTTACAACACCCACATTCTGTAAGCCTCTACTTTCACTGACTCTTAGAGCTTGTATTGAGTGAACTATAAAAAAATTAAAAAAAATAAAAATACCCGACGTCCAAATTGACATTTTTAAAATTCGTAACAAGTTTTAAATTCATTAGATTTATCTCACTATTGAAGTGTGAAACTTAGTCGGAAAAAGAGTTCATTGAACTTAATATTCGCTTGAAGATGAAACGGAACTAATGCTTTTAATTTAATTATATAATTAAATTTGAAGTTTTTAGCTTCAGTTTTTGAAACATGGTTATTATTGTGTAGCGAAAAAAACAACATATTTTAAATCAGTTAATTTATTATATATGTGTGTGTGTGTGTGTGTGTGTGTGTGTGTGTGTAAAAGATCTAGCCAAAAGATCAAGACACAAGGTCGATTTTATTGTGGGAGTATCCGAGCGCGTACACACGGGCCAAGTACAAAAATTTCCCGAGCTCCTGCAACCACCGGCCTCGGTGACGACCACCGATCCTTCTCTCTAGGGCCATGAGAGAGGTGCATCCTCAGGCAGCTGTTCCCTTGGGTTGGGCACCTCACCGCGTGATTTTCCTCAACTGTGCCCCTGTCTTTCGATGGAGCCGCAACTGAGAAATTATAAAACCTACTCAGGGATAATTCATGTGCCAGGTTGGTATCAAAGTTTGAAAGCTGCAAAATTAACCCTGCAATATCAAATTTAATGTAAAATACCAATTTGCCAATTACACTTCAAAAGGAAATTTAAAAAAAAAAAAAAAAAAAAAAAAAATAGCATCTAGTCATTCATTTCCCATTTCCTAATTTTCATTAATAGGCGATTGTTTTGCTGATATGTCATTGAATTGATTGGTTTTTGCTCCGAAAATGGTAACCAACTCATTTAGATCACAGTTTGAAAGTAAAGGGAAGTAAGTCTTGTTGATATTCGTTAATATTATATTTCGAAAATCGACAAGATTACAGAAATAAGTGAAATAAACGACAAATGGTGACATAGATCTACTAATTAAGTATTTTGCTATCTTAACTCTAAGTAAATGAATGAGAGATTCATAGAATAATCAGCTTAATGAGCCATATAACCAAGATTATAATCCGAATTTTGCTGAATAGAACGCGAAGCAGAATTCGGCCGGAAATAAGACAAGAACAGTGTGATTTTCTCAGAGACACTGAAACAAGAAATGCTATATTTATGATCAGAAAGTTTTTGGTGAAAGTAATACAAATATAGAACAATGTATACTTAGGTTTCATAGATTCTACAAAAGGGGGCACAGTGGAGTAATGGATAGCGTCTCGGATTGAGGAATCGGAGAGCCAAGTTCGAATTCCAGTCGGATTCATTACATTCACTTACGCGCTTGGGAAATGTATGAATTTGTAGAATCTTCCACAACACAACCAGCCTTACCTCTTTGTAGAAAATGCACTCTTCCTATCTAGTAAGCCAAATTCTAATTTCAGACAATATAACAAGTATTCATTGGTCAATCACCTCCAATCTGGCTTGCTGATTGGTCAGTTCCGACCAATCAAACCGCCTGCACGCGACCAAGCTGTTTTCCTGCTCATATGCTGCGAGCCACCCGGTGATTATATAAACAGAAAACGTGTGAACCTTCCGAGCAGTAATTACCAAGTTTCAAGATGTAACCTTCACCGACTCCCGTCTTAGTCATTGCAGACCAGACGTTAAAGACAATTACCAACTTTAGACAGTATCAAACGCCCACGGAGAACTTTCCAAAATACTCCACATCACTAAGAACCACGATTTTGCCGCGCAAAAGGTACATCATCGCTGACTCATACCCGATCGAGACTTAATCAACTCTGTGGACATCAGTTCTCAACTTTGCTTATCTAAAGTGAATCAAATTCGCTACTTATTAAGTAAACACTAACGAACGAACGACCTTAGAAAAACATCACATTACAGTTAAAGGTAGACCACTCTTAAAAAACTCCTAAAAAGACACTCAATATCGACAATCGCAAATATCGACACAAACAAAAAAATACTGTAAATGAATGAACAATTACAAAGAGACACATTCTGAAATCTAAAAACCTCATACACATTTCGCCTACATAACAAACACCAATTATCCTGTCTGTATATTGTTTGATTTGTATATAAATGTTGTGTTGATTTCTAATTGAATATGTCTCGTTTTTCAATTGCATTTTAAATTTCGTTTATTTGTTTGGGATGCAGAAAGTCACTCAAATTCCTTCTGATTCTTTCTAACATCATTAATAAATTCTGCACGTCCCCAACAAATCCTCTTCTTCTACCCCACTTCAACTATGGGTAAATAGCAGGACAGACTAGGTTCTATAGCCTTGGATGGCAACCGGTCAAGAAGAAGGAGGTAACTCGGAATTCAAAACCGTCGTGGAGAGGGTTGGGCTCCAACAAACACCACTTCTACTGCGACTGCAGTAGAAGTGGTGCTACCTATGACCCTAATGGGTCACGAGATTGGTGCGCGATATTTGAGTAGACGCTCCGTTTATTAAATAGTATATTTATTTATTTTCGTCTACCGGCCTGAAGATTCGATAAATCTCATTAAAAAATACGTGCTCTCCGACAGAATTCAAACCTGCGTCCCTCTAGGACCTCTTAACCGTCGTTAAATCCAACGTGAATTGGCCACAGAGTAGCCTTATCGTTCAAGCAAAGTCTGAAAAGTGCCTTTAAGCGAAATCCTTGTACTCAATTCATCGAAATATTCATATTTGCTCAGCTTCGTATCCCAGCGTAAACAAAGTAATTTTCTAAAATAATGAATCTTTTTTCTTTAATCAAACCGACAGATTTTCATCACTTTAAACGTTATTTTTAGTGGATACTCATATTTGAGTATAGACACGCCATCTATTTATATTAAACAATATATTTATTTTCGTCTCCCGCCCTGAATATTCCATGGCCGAGTCGGTTAAGGCACATTGGATCTAAGACACAGAGGGACACATGTTCGAATCCTGCCGGGGAGCGAACATTTTCTTTAATGAGATTTCTCGAATATTCAGGCCGGTAGACAAAAATAAAGAAAAAGATACTGTTTAATAAAAATAAATAGAGCCTCTACGCAAACACGAGTATCCACTAAAAATAACATTTAAAGTAATAAAAAAAATCTTGTCAGACTGATAAATAAATAAAAACCTTAGCAAATTACCTTAGAAAATTACTTTGTCTAATTAACAATGATCGGGAACTCAAACAATTTTCATTTTATCTTCGTTAAGAATATGTTATCTAAGGGAAATAACTCTCATAAACTTAAGTTCATGAGAGTTATTCCCCTTAGATACAAATGTTCTTTCATGTTATCCTTAATATATAAATGTGATTTCAATTGTTTCAAAATTCGCCATAAATATTTTATAAAAGATAACATGGAAAATTTCAGAATGAACTAAGGCAAAAATATTCTTTAACTGTAATGTTATTGTTAATTCACATTACATAAAAAGTAAAAACACCGAGACAAAAATTCATAAGCGTCTCACTACTCGACTGCACTCCACTGGTTGTTAGACGACTAGCTACATCCCTTAGTTCCAGCAGTCCTGGCTTTTGCAGTTAAGATCCGCTATGCCACGTACACAGAGACGAATCATCCTCATTCCCTTCGTATCCCACTGGTGAGCCACTTGAATAGAGTCTTCTCTGAAACTGCTAAAGAGAACAAACACTCAATAATAGGAGGTTTTCCGATCAATAGTCTTTGAGCAGTTGTCCTCGTTTTCATTGTTATTTCAGTAATCTTCTTCCACGAGCGCCCTTGGACCTTCTGTTGAGTGAACGTAAGTACAAAAAAAAAAAAAAAAAAAACATACCGTCTGTTTCTGAGATGAGGTATTGTAATTATTTACACTATTTACATTATTTGGACTGTTCTCATCTTTTTTGCCATATTCACATTTCAGCCGTTATACGCTTCGCCCTTTTACAAGTGATTGGGATTTCGAACTGAACCCTTTATTCCGGCAACCGGAGTAGACTGTTCTAGTTCCACGTGCCATGCCTCTTCCAGTTGTCCCAGTTATCTCGATTTAACTTAACTCTCCAAGTTTTTGTTCACCACTACATTAGCCATGTATTGAACTCACAACTCTTTGGGTCAAGTTACTGGATCCAACCAACGCTTTTATCCAGTGTGTCATGTGTTCTTGAGGTCATCTTGGGACGTACAAACTTAATGTCTTAGTTACATTTTTTTTTACCATTACTCATATTGCAACTTTTTGTTGTTATTGCTTT